TCGGGGGACCGGTTTCTACCCACAGAGACCTACCCACCGTCGGCAGGCAAACTGGGGGTGGAGGAAGCACCAGTCAAAAATAAGCTCATTAATCTGATTCAACACATTGAAACAGTCTCTCTCCCGGTGCCCCACACACGCAGGTACGGGGAAACCTGGAATTTGACCACAGCCAGTGCCGGCTGTGAGTTGGAATGTGTGAAGACAGGCGTCTGCCCGCAGCTGCCAGGAGCTTTGTCTTTTTCTGGAAAGTAATTTGGCAGTATTTATTAAAAATTTTAAAATTGCTCCGTGACCTAGCATTCCCACTTCGAGGAATCCAGCCTATAGAAAGCCGGTATCCCTCCTCTACAAATAGATCAGGAAACGTGTAGAGGGAACGACACGTTTGAATTCGACCTGATGCTCATAAGGGGATGACCATGGGTAGAAAAGCGTGCAGAATGGTAGACGGTGCCGTTGATACAAATATAGAGGTGAGGTCCTTCGTGGTGGCACACTCCTTCAATCCGAGCACTTGGGAGGCAGAGACGGATGGATCTCTGTAAGTTTGAGGCCAGCTTGGTCTACAAAGGGAGTCCAGGACAGCCAGGGCTCTGTTCCACAGGGAAACCCTGTCTCAAAAAATCAATATCTATACTTTCATGTTAAATGTCCACTCACAGTCCCTCACTGGCTTCTGGGCTAATAAAGCAAGAATGAGAGAACCCTTCATCTTTTCATATTTGACAGTATATCTTCAGTCATTTGTCTTTGGCAGTCTCTCTCTATAGTCTTGGAATTCACTATGTAGACCAGGCAGGTCTCCAAGATCAACCTGCCTCTGCTTACCCAGTTCTGGACTTAAAGCCGTGGTCAGCCTGCCCTGAGGCATTGTAGTTCAAAGCCTAGCTTCCGAGAACTGATAGCACACTTTTTTTTTTTTTTTTTTTTTTGGTTTTTCAAGACAGGGTTTCTCTTGTAGCCCTGGCTGTCCTGGAACTCACTCTGTAGACCAGGCTGGCCTCAAACTCAGAAATCCGCCTGCCTCTGCCTCCCAAGTGCTGGGATTAAAGGCGTGCTCCACCACCGCCTGGCCTGATAGCACACTTAAGCTCCAGAGGAAAAGAAGCTGAAAGATGCCTTTGGGGGAGGCTGCTCCATCTGCACCTCCAGCCACACAGGAGGTGCTGGGTGCAATGAACATGGAAGGAAATATACACAAGAGGCATGGGGACCCTGCCTTTCTGTGGAGGCAGGCTGCCCTGAGCAAACTGAGAAGTGGTATGACAGGAATTCCAGGCTGAAAGAGAATGTGCAGGTGCCTGGGTAGTAGGCTCTGGAATGAAGAATTCAGGATAGAAAGCCTGCCTCTGCCTGGCTGAGCATGAAAAGTCACCACTGCTCTGTCCCCAGAACTACTGCAGAGACTCCTCCTGTCTCTCACTCACCTTGGCCAGCTCCAACCTATTGTGTCTTGAGACAAAGAGCCCCGTAGACCAGGCTCTTCCTGTCTCAGCATCCCAAGTTCTGATGCTATAGGACTGAGCCAGCATGCCCAGGTCAAGCCACCATTTTGTAGGTCAATAAAACAGCCTCACAGAAGGAGGTATCCCAGCAGTCAGGAAGAAGAAGCAGAAGTATATCTGTGCCTTAAGGGCAGCCTAGTCTACATAGTGAATTCTAGGGCAGCCAGGGTTACATAGAGCCTGTCTCAAAAAGAGGGGGGGGATGAGAAATTCAAGGGTAGCCTGGGATCCATGAGCCCTTGTCTCTGGCTAGACAGCAGGTGTGCCATCAGCCTGTAGTCTATGCTCCCTGCAGCCCCTCCCCATCTTGGAAATATCTGCAGCTGCCTATGCAGCCCCTACCCCTTTCAGGGAAGCTGGTTCTGCTGAGCCCCCGAGTACTCAAGTTTCTGTTTGCAGAAATAGGAAGCAAGCTTGTTATCTAGGCTGGAGGTGGGGGTAGGGGGTTCAGGGCTTCCTCTTTGTCTCCAGGATTTACAGCTTCTTAGCCTTTTCTCCTTCCTTACCCCTTTCCATCTTCCTGCCAGAGCAAGACCAGAACTCTAGTAAAAGTGAGGAATAGAAGGCAGGATGGCCAGGGGTGCCTATCCCAGCATTAAACCACACCCAGCACAGGCACAGGTTCCTGTGACCTTCGACCGACCCCTGACCCATTCTACTGCAGATACACAGGCAGATACACAAAGAAGTGCTGGCTCAGAAGTCCAGATATCCCCCAGTGGTCCTAGGGTGACTACCCTTGGGACATTGTGCAGATTCACAGGGCAGAGTATAGGACAGCTATAGTAGAGGTGACAACAGGGTAGGGAGGTGAAGGGGTCTTTATAGCCTTCAGATCACAATATCAATGTGAGGACCCACTGGGGTGTTGCTTGGAAATCCTGGTGGTCCTCAGAGCAAGGAAGCAAGGTGAAAGTCTGCCGACCCAGCCATTTTCCTGACTGTGGACCCGCTGCTATCCTCCGGACTCAGTAGCTGGTCTGGCAGCTTCCAGGCAAGAAGCTGGATGACATCATCCCCCAGATTTATGGTCCCATTTCCTTCCAAATCACACCAAGTCATACATTAACCACAGAGAAGGAAAGGGCCTCAAAGGAGTCCTAGGTTTTTTTATTCATAGAGCATGGTCCAGTCCAGCAGGGCAAGTGGAGAAACAGCTAGGTCCCTGGGCTCCAGGTTCCACAGTCTGTGCCCAGGGTGCATTTCTTCCTCTCTGCTTCCTTGCTCCTGGAACGCAAAGGGGAAGTTGGCAGGGGTCAGAAGAGAGGCTGAACCAGTTAAAGGGGCCTCAAGGCGACCCAGGCCTTGCCAGAGGTGCAGTTGGAGCCGCTTCCGCCTAAGTATCTTCAGTTTCTTTTCCTGGGCTGCCTCTGTTCTGGCTCAAGTGTGCTATCAGTTCTCTGAAACTCGGCCTTGAACTGCAATCCCTCAGGCCAGGGTGGAGCATGCCTTTAAGCTCAGTATTTGGTAGGCAGAGGCCGGCAAATCTCTGAGTGATCTACATAATGAGTTCCAGACCAGCCGAGGCTACACAGGGAGACTGTCTCAAAGACAGCATTCAGTCCTGCTTGAACCATGTTGTCTGTATGATGTTACACAAATTAACCTTCTGTCCCCCATCTGTAAAGTGGTCATAAAATTGTAGGAAAGAGGATTTGATGACGTGAGAGATGGCTGGCAGCATGTAGCATCTGTTCTTGTTAGGAGAACTCAGTGTATCAACTACCCTGGGAAATCTATCCACCCTCACCTCACCAGCTAGGGTCTTAAGGAGGCTGGTTCTGCTTGAAGACTCCGGGCTGAGGTTATGCATGACAGATGGCTAGTTCTGAGAAGGTGGACTGGAGAAGGTACACAGAAAGTACTGGGAAGCCAGCCATTTACAGAGGGTAACTAGAACCAAGGGAAACCCCCCCTTGTTGAACTCATAGGTTGGGTGAGGATGTAGTCAGGCCTGGTCTCCAAGCCATGGAGAAGCTGGGGAAGAGGAACCTCCCAGAAGTGGAAAGTCTAAGTCTCCAGAGGAGCAATTAGGATGTGTATTGTGGGCTGTGCACCACCAAGGGTGTGGAGCCGTGGATATGGCTGGGATGTCTCAGTGCAACTTCACAGCATGTCGTCCAAACACATCCCTCATTGCTGGTCCTTCCAGGGCTATCGTATTAAAGTCAGACAGGGCAGAAATCCGAGGAGGTCTGAAGTCATGCACCTGAGTTTCTAGGGCAAGGACATTACAGGTTAGCCTAGCCTGGCCCCAGAGGACCCTATAGGCCGGCAGGATTCTAGAAAAGGCAGGCTAGGTCACCCCCATTCTACCAGGCTACAAAAGCCTCTTAGCTGGAAAGCGCAGCCTGAAGTTGGTCACTGCTACCGGTTCTAAATAGCTAAAGTTTCATTCTCTCCAGTTCTGCCAGTTGAAGTCTGCAGTAAGGCTCTCTACTCTCTCTGCCCCACCCCTACTCCCCTTTCCACTGCACACATCTCAGGAAGAATCTTCCTTCTCGAGGAGCCCGTGGGGCCTCTGGATCAGCTCTGCTGAGACAAAACATCACTACAGCTTGACCTTTCTGGTTGGCCTCCAGCAGCCGCTCTCCCAGGACACTATTGAGTCCACTTCATAGGCTCTCAAGATGCCAGGAATCCTAGGAGGGGGTGCTATATCTCCTGCCTCTCAGGCAGGACCTGGCCTAGGGCCACTTTTGCAGAATACTCCAGACTAACCCTACTCCTTATCCTCGGCCCAGCCCTGGCCAAAGTCTTTGCGCCGACCGACCCAGGTCCCTTTGCTCTGCGGCTCCACTTTCTGGCATTTATCCTGGAACTTTGACAGGGAGTTTCAGAGCCGTTTGCAATGACAAAATGTCCTGGTGGACCATAGTGGGGAGGCCCTGGGGTTGCATAGTTGTCAAAGGGCGCTTTAGTGTCAGGCGTACCCCGCGGGCAGAAGCTTCATGCACTGGGCATCCGTATAAGGCCGCACGCGGACAAGCCGCTGGCGAACAGGGGACTTTTATTTTACACAGTGCTCGGATCTCTTAGGCAACGCGCAAGTATGCACACAAGAACACAGACGCGGAGAAGCCAGCCAGGGAACGTCCTTTGGGAGCGCGCAAAGGACAGCGCGGCGACTCCCAGCAATCCCTGCGCCGGTCTGACGTCATCAAAGAGCACCGGAAGTGCTGCGGCCGCCGCGAAGCCACGTGTGGAGCCCAGAGCCCGCTTATGCTGCGTAAGTTTCCGAGCTTGGAGCTGTGCTCCGGGCTTGCTGGCAGGTCCCGTGCTGTTCAGCGGGAAGCCGGCCTTCCCTGCCGTCGGGAGCCCTCCGTGGAGACTCTGGGCAAGGGGTTACGGGGAATCCGGGCTTGGAGGTGGCTTCTCCCCTTGCCGGTGCACGCCTGTCAGAGGCCGTCGCCTTCACACTGGGGGGTGGAGAAAAGACTATATTCTGGCCCTTCCTGTGTGCGAATCTTTAGGCTTCTGCCAATGCGCACTCTCTCTTGTATCCTCCGAGAACAGAGCCCTCCAAAATGGCTCCATATGTAAGGCTAGAGTGCAGCTCTGTTGGGTTTCGTAAGCAAGTTAGCTAACCCTGCTCAGAACCCAGGCCCACACAGACCTCTCTATCCAGACCACAGATCTTCATCCTGCCTCCTGGTCCTCTGACCTCACGCCCACATACCGCTTCTCCAGGTCCCTGACACTTGGCAAATGTTAACACCATGAGTTTCGTGGCATACGAGGAGCTGATCAAGGAAGGCGACACAGCCATCCTCTCGCTGGGCCATGGCTCGATGGTGGCAGTGCGTGTGCAGCGTGGGGCACAGACCCAGACCCGGCATGGAGTTCTGCGGCACTCAGTGGACCTCATTGGCCGCCCATTTGGCTCCAAGGTGATTTGCAGCAGAGGCGGCTGGGTGTATGTGCTGCACCCCACTCCTGAGCTCTGGACAGTGAACCTGCCCCACCGCACGCAGATCCTCTACTCCACCGACATTGCCTTAATCACCATGATGCTGGAGCTGCGGCCCGGTTCTGTGGTCTGTGAGTCAGGTGAGCCCCTCTGCTGTCTTCAGAGCTGAGAACATACATGAAAGTAGGAGTCACACCCACAGTTAAGTTTGCAGCCAACCCTTCCTGCAGTTGTGCGATGAACTACTTGGTTTTTATCCTAGCTTTTATTTAGCAACTCCACTTGCTAGGGAGGGTGTGACTGCAGGGAGGGAAGACAGAAACGGTACTAGCTGCTGTCATTGAAATGACAGCTGGTAGGGGCTAATCTGGGTTGGAGAAGAAAGAGGAGGAGGTGGTGGTGTCCTATGAGGGTCAGAGCTAGGCTTGCTTGATGCTAGCCAAGGTGCTGATTGCTTATCTCTAGGCCAGCTGCCCCTTCCTGGGGAGGCTAGTAACCCCAGAGCACATGGTAGAGAGAATTCTGCCCATACTTACAGCCAGGCCCTCCCCTAGTTCCATCGAAGATTAGCACTGTCACTGATACAAGGTCAAGGGGTGGCTAGAAGTGTCTGAGCTAGCTGTCTCTCACATACCCACCCTTAGGCACCGTGGCCGCTGGGCTAGGTGCAGCAGTCTAGCCATGCACCTCTGCCAAGAATGACCCCAGGATCAGACGTGGCTAGATGTTTCTTGTGGGCTAAGAAGCTGGGGTCCAGAGTCACAAGAGTTCCCATTCTCCCTGTGGCTGGCTTTCTGGGGCGAGCAACTCACACTGCCCCCCCCCCCCCCCCCCCTGTTTGTACCTTGTTTAGGCCCAATGCTATCCCCTCTCAGGCCTTAGCCCTGTTTCAGTCAGCACAAACCCTGTGCTCCCATGTGGTGCCAGGTCCCTTCTCCACTCTCTGAGAGACAGGACAGGCAGTGAACGTAGTGAGATCCCCAAACTCAGGAATCCTGTCAGGGGTCTGAGGTGACCTTTGAGTTATAGATGGTGAGGTACTACCAAAGGCCAAAGAAAAGCCCGGCCAATGCCCTGAGATAGAAGAACAACACCTGGGCATGTTGGTAAGGAGATTGCTCAGTGTGGCTGGATCTGCGGGACCTGAGGATGAAGTCGGGAGGAGAGAGGGGTGTCTTCCGGGTAGCTGTCAGGATCTGGAGTCTCCCTTGAATGGGAAGGTAAGCCTTGCCGCTGTGTGAGGGGTGGGTCTGACTGACAGTAGTGAAAGAACAGAGGCTGCCGAGAGCAAAGAGGGAGGAACCTGGTGGATGAGGCTCCGGCGAGGGAGGAAGGAATCACTGGTAGACTGGAGGTGGGGTGGCCCTGCGGATGGGTGGCTGAACAGTCTGGCCCCTGCAGTAGGTGTCCCTTCCTGGGTTTTGGAGTGATCAGGATTGGGTGGGGTCCATCTTTGTTCTTAGGGTTTTTGGGGGGAGCGAGTTGAAAGAACATTGCTACAGTGGGGCACATTGCTGGAAGTGGTCACCAAGCATGGGTACTTGGAGCCGTGGAAGGAGCAGTTACAGGGATGAGTGGAGCCAGAGCTAGCCCAGGTCCTGGAGTATATGAAGTCACGTGAAGAAGGGTAGCCTTGCTTCTAAGGAAGAGCTGAGGTTTGCTTTTTGTTTTGTTTTGTTTTGTTTTGTTTTGTTTTGTTTTTCAAGTCAGGGTTTCTCTGAGTAGCCCTGTCTATCCTGGAACTTCCTCAGTACACCAGGTTGGTCTCAAATAGCTGTCTGCCTTTGCCTCCCAAATGCTGGGATTAAAGGTGTACACCACCACTGCCTGGAAAGTCTGGTTTTTGACAGACTGATGACATTATGAGAAGGGTGGTATAGTTGGCTTTATGCCTCGGGAAATATTTAGCAGGGTGGGCGTCTCGGGGAGGATTGAGTCAAGGAGTGCATAGGGGGAATTAAGACAGGCAGCTGTTGGCAAGACCCATGGGGTAACTATAGTGTAGAAGAGGCTAGGTTCCAGAATAGTGTAGGCCCAGCATTAGCTCTGCCTAGACTCGCCCTGTGTTGGCCCCACTGATTCTATGCTTCACATCTGTTCTGTGTGTGTGGGTAGGGATGCCCCGTTCTTACCTGTGTCAATACTACACAGCCCATCAACTCCAGCCCCAGCACTCCAAACCCAAGACTGAGGCTGCCAGAGCAGCTCATGACGTGACACCATCTCTACCCTCATGTGCCTGTCATGAACCCCTTCCTCCTGTTGGAGGAGGAGGAGGAGGAGCTGTTGATGGGTGGGTATGGTCCTCAAGGGACCCCTCCTTGTTTCTCCTGCCAGGCACGGGCAGTGGTTCCGTATCCCACGCAATCATCCGCAGTATCGCACCCACTGGCCACCTACACACGGTAGAGTTCCACCAGCAGCGGGCAGACAAGGCCCGGGAGGAGTTCCAGGAGCATCGGGTGAGCCAGTGGGTGACTGTGCACACCCAGGATGTATGCCGCAGTGGCTTTGGTGTGGTCCATGTGGCTGATGCTGTCTTCTTGGACATCCCATCACCCTGGGAAGCTGTGGGCCATGCCTGGGATGCCCTCAAGGTTGAAGGTGCGTCCATGTTGGTAAGGGACTGGTAGGGTCTGAGCTTCTAGGTCATCTGGAACCCAGGAAGACCCAGGTACCTGAGGGTCACACCACAGTAATGGTCAGGTCAGGGTTCCTTTTGGCCCACAGTGAGGACTGGCTCAGGCTGGTTGGAGACTCAGATTAGAGAAGATGGGGCCCATTCTTCAGCCAAGATGGGAACTCACTGGGGCCCTGACAGCTCCATCCAAATGCAGGCAGGCAGGATTTGCATGATGGAACGGGCCAGGATCCAAGATGGAGGTCATAGACAGTCCCCTACCCCCAGCCATTTCCTGCAGACTCCCGACATCCATGCTGCAGAGCCAGACAGCTGGACCTTTTAGGGAAGATGCTGAGTGTGGAGGCGGGGCAATGGGAAGGCCTGGAAAAGGTCGGCCTTGAGCCAGAGAGGCGGCTGCTAAGCCCAGGGATTTCGCCTTTTCTGGAGAAGAAGCAGGCTTGGCAGCCAGGGCTGATCTCGGCCCATCTCTGTAAGAGGGTGGGGGAGGCTCTCTTGCTCCCTCAGGTTCTGCCCAGACCTCTCTATCCCTGCTGTTTGCTGAGGTGGCCTAAGGGAAGCCTGGAGGACTACACCTGAAAGTTTCCTGATACAGGGTCATTGGTCAGTCCAGTCTTGGTGAGGTCCGAGCTGGGTAGATGAACCCCCTTACAAAGCAATCAGAGGCCCCTCTGCCTTCTTTCTGGTCTTGTCCCATGACCCATGTCCGCCTCTTCTGGGCTCTTCCCCAGGTCTTCATGCTCTGGGCCCTTAGGTATGTCTCTAGTGGTCTCTGGCAAGGAGTATATGGTGTGGATTGCTGTTTAGTGACAGTTGTCTTTATCCTGGCGTCAGGCCTCCTCCTGTCTCATACATGCAGATGTCCTGTGTCAGGGAGCACTGGGTACCAGGCCTAGGGTCATGTGTACACACTCCATCTCTGCCATGACTTGCTCATGAGCACTGCCAAGACAGGGATCGGACACTTTCACAGTCTCTGGGCAGGCTGAGTGAAGCCCGTGGGCTGCCCCAGTGGGAGGCAGCAGGGAGGAGCTTACATCATGCTTGCTGCAGGCTCCTCCTGTTCCCAAGAGCCAACGACAGCCTCTAATTTTCTGTGACAGCAGCCCACACACCGCCCCATGTTGCCCTATTGTTAGAGCTATTCTTGGGACTGACTCTGACAACCCTGACCCCCCCCACCCCCAGCCCTCCACTGCCTCCTACAAGGCAGGATGGTGATGCCTAGTGGCAGAGAGACCTCGGTATCTTGGTCTTGGGCCTGGCTACTGAACTGGGCTTCTGCCCAAAGGTGGTCCAGAAGGTAGGGTACAAATGCATAGCTTCCCAAGGCCCTTGCATTGCGACTTGGTCTGAAGGCTTACAGTCTACAGTCAGTCTTGAGGCAGCCTCGGGTTCAGGGTGGGCTGTGGGTACCACTACAGTGCCCTCTGACCCTGTGACCCCGCGTCTCCCCGCAGGTGGGCGCTTTTGCTCCTTCTCTCCGTGCATTGAGCAGGTGCAGCGCACGTGCCAGGCGCTGGTGGCCCATGGCTTCACGGAGCTCAGCACCCTGGAGGTACTGCCACAGGTCTACAACGTGCGGACTGTCAGTCTGCCCTTGCCTGACCTGGGGGCCAACGACTTAGAGGTCAACGTCACCGTGGGCTCTGATGCAAGCCCCTTCCGTAGTGGGACACCCATGAAGGAGACTGTGGGCCACACTGGCTACCTGACTTTTGCCACCAAGACCCCAGGCTAGTGGCCTCCAAAGGAGCATCACAGGCAAGCAGGGAGGCCAGAGGCTTCCTTATATGGTCAGCCACTGCCTGTGGGGCTTGTGTTTAGAAAGAGACAGGAGGGCGGGGGCCTCCTGGGTGGTAGAGGGGGGTGAGTAGGCTGGCCCTGCTTAGCCAGGAGGCATTCCTGTCTTCTGAGAGAGAAGCCTCCACCTCCACACTGCCCAGTGCAAGCTCTGCCCTGGCTCTTTGTTGTCAACATGAAGTGTCCTCTCCGTAGGCTTGCCTGGGCTTTGAGACCAAACGGTACAGGGCGGCGGGAGCTTTGGGCACTGCCTGAAGCCTGGGCTGACCTGCAGGAGCATGCATTGTCCCATTCCTGGTCCAAGGCTCCAGCCCCTGGTGGGCCAGAGCCTAGCCAGAAGGCCTGGCCCTACCCTCAGCTCCCTGTACTTCCTTGAGGCTGATGGAGGGACCAGGCTAGCCTAGGATCAAAGGAGGTGACTCCATAATCTTGTGGTGCACAGGTCATGCGTGAGCACACCTGTGCGAGTACACCTGTGAGTTCCTGGTGTGCTGTCATCTGGGGTTAGGCTTCATCCTGTGGAGATGGAGTGCGGCAGGATAGGGCCATGCTGCCAATGGCCTGTGGAACCATTGTTGGAGCTGGGGTCAAAGAGCACGTCATCGAGGAGGCCCAGAGCCCTGGCTGTGGACTCGCTGCATGTGTCACCGTGGGCTGGTGTCCATTCCCGCTATGTGGGTAGCTTTGAGGGAGTTTCAGTGCTCAGGTCATCTTGATGTGTGGCTGCCCTGCAGCTGCTGGTGGTGCGTGGAACCAGCCACTGAGAGATTTACCCATGTCATACTGGTAGTGACACATTGTCGTGTGTCATACCTGAGAGGATACCTAACGGAGCAATAAATGTTTTACCCCACTGTGCTTATCCTCCTGGCTGCCAGAAGGGCAGCCCTTCAGCTGTGGTCCAGGCCCACTGCCCACACTTGGCTCCTCTCTGTCCTGAGTAGGTACTGTGGGGTTTCTGAGCTCTGTGTCCTGGGCCCCTCCCCACATTCCTATAAGGACCTAACTCGGTGTCCCTGGGGTTGGCTTCCCAGCCTGCCTGCTCTCTGTAAATCAACCGTAGGTCCTGGAGAGCCCTGTCCTATGTGCCCTCAGAGCTGTTCGTGCTCCTAGGACCACTAGCCTTGTTCCAGGGACATGGTCTCAGCACTAACGTAATACCTAGCCTGAAGGACTGAGGCGAGGCCCCCAGGCATGTTCAACATACAGTGGGTGCCTTCAGCACCAGGACCTGCTAAAGGGTTGTAAGCTGGGCACCCTGCTACCTGGCCTGACCAACCCTGGTTATGTGTCCTTGGGGAAGGGCTCCTGGCCAACAGGTAAAGGTCAAGGAACAGCATTACTGTGGAATAGAGCCTGCTCAGTTATGGGATACACAGGCCGTATAGCCATAAGGCCCAGGTTATGTCTTTCTCCATATGGGTCTCACTGTGGCTAGATAACTAAATCCTGGCTTTTGTAGTCTCTGGGCCTTGGAGAGTCTATCCAACTCCAGTTGACCTCTAAAGTTTATCCCAGCCCAGACTGGAGCTCCACCCGGCACTGGACTTACCCATGAGCCTTTGTGTCTCTACAGCTCTGCTCAGGTCATCCTCTTTATCAGTTCATTCATTAGGTAGTTAGGTTTTAAGGTGGGGTTTTCTCTGTACAGTCCTGGCTGACCTGGAACTTGCTCTATAAAACTGGCTAGCCTTGAACTCAGAGGTGTCTGTCTCTGCCTTCTGAACACTGGTGTTAGAGGCGTGCGCTCCATGCCTTGCTAAATGGTCCCCTCTTGATTGCTCTCCCAGACCTACCTGCTCTTAAGCAGGAGCCTTCAGCTCAGTCATCCTCTGTCCATACCCTATACCGATCTGAGGGTTACCTCAGCATGGAAGTCCCCAAGGCAAAGGAGAGGCTAGGTCCCCAGGTCCTACAGACTGAGCCTGACTCCCAAAGGAGCATCCCTGCAGCCACGGTTGTGAGTTCAGTTAGCCCATCCTGGGTGTACTTGACTCAGAGGCTCGGGACTCATCATGGGGCAACATCCTGGAAACTTCCCTTCCAGCTTGACTCCTGTCTCTGGCCCTCAGTTTTCCCTTAGATATTTTCCTGGGTCACAACCTGTATTGTGACCAGAATAGCAGCACTCCCCTCAGCCTCGTTGGCGAGAGTCTGCTGTGCAGTGCCAATCCCTGGGAAGCCCTGGATGCATCTGTAGGTGCAGATCCTGGGCCAGGGTAGTCGGCTTCCTCAGGCATATTCCTGAGCCACCTGTAAGCTCTGCCCAGGCCTCATGCCACCTTGTGTTTGAGGGTTTCCAGCAAGGGCACTGGCATCTGGCTTTGTGTCTCTGGGTGAGGAATGGGTAGTACAAGGGACACCTTTGCCTTTTACATTGTCTGGGTCTCTTGGAACTTGACCTTGATGCTGTGTCCTCTTTTTCTTCTCCTGACCTTTGCACTGTTGCCTCTTCCTGCCTCAGCCTAGTCTGCATCCTGGGAACAGGCAGGCTGCCGGGGACTCCAGTAACAGGGACAAGTGTTTCCTGCCCACCACTGGAAATCTACCCAGGTGGAGAAAGAAAACTACCTAGCTTTTACATCTGAAGCCAAAGGGGTGGGCTAGTGAGTGTCCTGTGGACTTAAGGCCAGCCTGGGGTGCTCTTGCTAGGTCAGTTGAATAAGACTCCTTAGGGAGGGGCCTCCTTCAGGCCTGAGCTCATGAGGCCATAGGAAGGTCTGAGAGACGTCAGTGCCCAGTGCTCCCAGCTCTGTATCCCCATTGGAGAGGAGCTTTACTTCCATGGCTGGCCTGGTTTGAACCAGACCCACAGTGTGAGAGATGAGCAGCAGAGAAAAGCAAGGGCTTACCTCTCTTATATGGGTCCTGGTTGGGAAGACCTCCCAAGGAAGGGACCTCAGGTTTATAGACTTGCCTCTGGGCAGGAGAGCTTGGGTGGGTAACCTACCCTTAGGAGTGCAGGGGGTGGGGACGTGCTCAGCCTCTGGATATGCCACTAAGGTTGGTGATGAGTCACCTCCTTGTGGGGATGAGACAGTGACTGCCTCGTGGCTTACTGAGAGTGTGTCATGTCAGTGGTTGGGACAGTCAGCGTACAGAATGCCACTGTGATTACTGCCACCTTCTCCCAGAAGCCCTCTTTGGAGTCAGGGGAGTTGGTGACAAGATGGCTCAGCAGGTAAAGGCAGGCTCTTGGCACCAAACTTGATGACCAGACTTCGTTTCTGGAACCCACATGGTAGACAGAGAGAACCGACTCCATCTGACTTACACATGTGCACCATGGGACATGCAAGCATCCCTGCCCCTCCGTGCAAAACAAATGACCAATAGGAATGTCTGTGTGCGTGTGAGCATGTGTGCATGCACAGGAATCATCCCTGGGAGTGCCACCACCTCCTTCGAGACAAGATCTCACTGATCTGGAGCTCACTAACTGGGTGACATTGAGTCCTCGTGCTTAGAAGACATGCTTTAGCAGCTGAGCGATACCCTAGCTCAGCTTCCTTTTCTGTTCCTTTCAGAATCTAAGGCCAGAATTTGGGTTCCATCTCTGGTCCTTCTGAGAAATATCCTTTGTGCTCTAGGCCATACACTAGCCTTTGCAGGCACCTCGAATGACCTTTGCGCTCCGGGTACTAACAGCTTGTGCACTTCCGGGGCATTTGAGCCTTCAGGACGGTGAAAGATTTGCCAGTCAGTCTTGTAGAAAATGAAGGAAGGCATTAGCCTTGGTTTCTTGTGGTTTGAAGTTGACTAGAAGCCCTTCCTGGCCTGGCACTGAGCACACAGCTTCTCTTCTGACCTTTCCCATTTCCTAGGTGGGTATACATACCCATTAGCTGCTGCCTTAGACGTTCTGGGTAACAAGTAACCCCCCAAAGGACTAAGAACAGTGCTCAGACCTTCTGCAAGGCTCAGGGTAGAGCTGAGCTAATGTCAGCCTGCTGCTGCTGTTGGCTGCCTCTCCTGCTCCTGGGATGTGTGCCAGCATCACGAGCTTAGGTACAGTAGGTCCCAGCCCAGCTGTGCTGGTGCTGGCCAAGCCTTCAGTCTCATTGTGTCCACAGATACCCCCCTGGTCTCTGGTTGACGCCTATCCCATACCTGGCCTGGAGCAGACAGACTGGGGAATGAGAGAAGGAACAGCAGATTTGGGGAGAAAGAGGAGCAAGCCCTAGCTGCCCTTTCTTTGCCGTGCTGTGTGTCTGAGTAACCCCGGCCTGTGGGCTCCACACGGGGGGTCATCAGCAAATAGGGCCCTGTCAGTGCAGAGCCTGGCCAGCCTGCTTTGAGTCTGTTGCCAGAACGAGGGCGTTTCAAAGTCAGGCCGCCTTCAAGGCGGGCTCTTCAGCGGGAGGGAATAGCTTGGCTCCCACCAGGCTGAGAATAGCTCAGAATTGGGTCATGCTCACCGAGCGCTCCGGTCACAGCCTCCAGCCTTTGACAATAATCAGCTTTTTCCCCCGACATCTGTCCCTTCAAAGGGGGGAGGCAGGCTTGGGCACATTTTTAGAAGAATGTGAGGGGATGGGAGAGGAAGCTGTTTTTTTGGTGGACAAGCCTCCCTCATCTGACCCCCCCCACCACCACCACCACCATGCTGGCCACTTCAAACCCTCCTGCCCATCCTTGGTTCCACTCCCAGGACCCCTCAGACTTCTCAAACCAAAGCAACCTTGGCGCCCCTCACCGGTGAGGATAGGGATTATCCTGGAGCCTAGACTTGTCTGCCAGCCCCCACCCCGCACCCCCCTCTGCTCCCCTCAGCAGCCTAGCCTTCTGTGTCATGACAGTCAGGTGATACCTGCTGTTGTCCTCTTCTGTGGATGAAAGAATAGTGACTGTGCTGCTTTTCCTTAAGGACTTTGGGGCTTAGGTTTCTCGGATCCCAGTGACCTTCACTGAGGCAGCCCCCCATCCTATTCTGCCCAACATGACCTTCATACATTCTTTACCTAGATTTTCTGTACGACTCCAGTAGGTTTTCCCTGGCTGCACTGTAGCCCCGGCCCTCCCCAGCCTCAGTGACATTGCCCACACATCCAGATACCTCTGCCTATCGTGATGTGCCATGTACAGCTATCAGGCTGCATGAGAAGTTTCTGGGATCTTGCCCCTTGATGAGTTCTGAGCAGCTCAGTTCAGCCTTATGTTCTGAGCCTCCTTGATCTGTAGTCCTAGGAACAAAGGCGACCTCAGACCTGCAACAATGTCCTTCACCATTTGAATTGGTGTCCTGGCAGAACAGGTCTGTACCTTTAAATTGAGCTCAGTACCTCTCCTAGCTCTGGCAATACCAAGGTGTACTCTATATAGTAGGACTTCACACCAGATCCTCCCAGGCCTGGGCTGCTTAGCTGACCCAGTCTGTGCTCACAGAGAGACAGCTTCAGGCTTCCTCTCCAAATACGGCTGGACGGCTGTGTGCTCCAGCAGTGTCCGTACCTAGAAGCTATTGCCCAGGCGGATTCAAGTCAGATCGCTTTTGTTAGTTTTGTGCAGTTGTCACGTGTGTGGAGGTCAAAGGATGGCCTGAGGGGATTGGCTCTCTCCTTCCACCGTGTGGGTCTTAGGGACTAAACTCAGGTTGGCAAGTTTGGTTGCAAGTGTCTACCTGCTGAGTGATTTCATCGGCCCGAAAAAATACTAGCTCGAGAAATCTTAGTTCCCACTTTGGTTTAGCTACTAGGAAACTCTCATCCCATTGCGGTTCATCTACTGGAAATATACAGAATTTTACCCCATCTAGTACGTCCTACCTGTTTTTTACTGGGCCTTGCCCTTCCAGAGTAGCCTGGAGAGTAGGTATAGTCACAGGATTTTGGTTTCCACTTGGGCCTGCTGATAATACCTTGTACATCCTAGCCTCTCCCTGTTAGAGTGCTGCCTGGACTGATGCGCCCCTCCTGCACAAGTGTTTGCTTCTGTGGGCTTCACAGACTTCAGGGTGCATCTCACGCCAGGCAGCAGGGCAAGCCACAGTCTCACTCTCTGTCGGCGTGAAGCATCCACCGAGGTACTCTCATGTACCCCACCCAGAAACCCTCTGCCCAACTCTACTAGCCATCAGGAGGCTCAAGCCTAGCAGCCTCTGCTGGAAAGACCTGGAAGTCCTCAGACTAGCTTTCTCCGGCTGTCTTTCTGCAGACTGTAAACAGTTATCTTACGAGAGAGCCATTGCTCCTTCTGAGGCAGTTGTCATTCGGAGCTCCTTGGAAGTGTGCCTTGGAGTCTCCCAAACACTTCTGAGGATTGCTACTGCTGCTGGCTCCATCTTGGAAAGGCTTCTGAGTTCGAAGCCAGCCTGGTCTACAGAGTGAGTACCAGGACAGCCAGGCCAACACGGAGAAACCTTTGTCTCAAAAAAATCAAACCGGACAGGTGTATCTCAGACCCTCAGGACTACACCTCCCAAACAGCGTGCCCCGCCATGCTGTTTCTACGTGCTTTCTTTCATAAGGCATCTACCAGGAAACCAGATTTTTTTTTTTTAAATCCAGCTGCCTCTGCCTCCCAAGTGCTGGGATTAAAGACGTTTGCCACAACTGCCACTGCCACTAGCCAACCTGAAATGGATTGATTCTTTAGTGTTTAAGGCAGGACAACTTTCTCATGTGCTTATGGTGTTTGTGGGAGGCTATGGTGGCTGAGAGTTGCCTCAAAATAACCTGGGTGCAGGGTGAGGTGAGAGTCGG